AGCCTTACCCGGTGGCTGTTTGTTCATCTGCAGCTTCTCGCCAACCTTCAAGGTTTTGGAAAGGAAGCGTTTGGTATACTTCAGACGTTTAAGTGCGCGACCGCGAGGAGCCTTATTCTTGTCTTGTTTGGCAACCTTGGGGGTCTGGTTCCGGACCTTACCGGCGCGAGCGAGTGAGCCGTGGACTTTGCCCATCTTAAAATATGAATACAAGGAACTAATTTAAGAATAAAAGGGAATTCAGAACCCAAAAGGTAAATTGTATATAATTCACAGTACGCAACCGTTTACACGAAGCCAAATCAAATTTACAGCAGTTCTAATCTGGGGTAATTATTTCCCAGAAAGAGATAACGCAAATTCTCACCTCAATAAGGATTACATTAGCAAGGGTAAGGTAATATAAATAAGGAGCGTTGAACCAAGTTTAGAGTACACAAACATAAATATAATATTTACATATCGGTATATTTTGAATAAGTTCAACGGTATATAATATAAGTGGTACTAATAAGAACGGTGTGCACAAGTAGCCCATGAGGAAAAGAAACCAGGAGGCCCATTTACTTGTCCCTGTAAAGACATGTCCATTATTTTCCGTTCTGTAAAAGAATAGCCATTTTTCTTTTGATTTAATGTATATCGAGTGGGAGGTACTTCTCGAGAGCTCCTACTCATCTGATCGATTTCGTGTAAAGTACTAGCACCGGGTCGTTCTTTTTTATCACTATAGCGAAAGAAAGACCGTTTAAAAGGTGTAAGAAGAGGGGGGAAAGCAAACGCGGGCATGTTGTCATGATTCATCTTGTATGAATTCAACAAAAGTTCACCGACTGTTGGCTGAGGTTGCTGCTTGGATTTTTTTGTCGAGTCTGAGCGACCTTTACCACTAATGTAAAGATTGGGCGTAGGTTTCTCGTGTGCGAGAAAAGTTTGTCCATATTGCGCTTGCTCAATAACCTGTCTTCCGACATCAGACCTCATCGATTTGTTCGTATTCAAATTTTGAATTTGATTACCTTTGAGATTGTCCTGTTTATTTTCATTCCACATAGCTGAGTTGCGTTTTTTCTTTAGAATGCGAAGTTTGAGATCACGCTTTACTATTTCCGCTGCTTGCATTTCTTCCGCCTGCTCTAACTGCCGAAGATAATTATTAAAATGAGAACCTTTACACCACGCTTCACGATCAGCTGGCGGATTAAGAGATTCCAATAATTTGTCCCTAAGGTTCAAGGAGGGCATAGTGTCCTCCATCGGTATTATTGGGCTACAAACTATTCATAGTTGATAGTGAGGGGGTAAAAATAGCAATAGAAGAATATATCAATCAATCGATTTGTATTATATCTAGAGGTAATTTATTACACTAAGTGTGTATTTTAGTCTAATAATAACAATAAATCCTGAGATGTTTTTCATTATTCCGTAAGCATAAATTCCTCACTTGTGACTTTTCCGGCACGTTTTTGCTGTTGATCAAACATCAGACGACCTATTGTGGCTCGTGCTCCTTCATCTAATTCTGCCATATGGACTTCGGGAGGTTTAAGTGTTTTCATGTTGATCTGAACTTCTCCTTCAACTACTAGGGGCCACCACTCTTCATATTTTAAATTGGTTTTTACTAACACTACAACCAATTCTCGGTCTCTGATAAGCCATGTACTTTCAGTAGCCTTGATTGGCTTGAAAAGCTTTCCGGATAAAATTGTTACCCCCTTTACGTTGACATGCAAGTTATTCGGTGCAATAGACACTTTAAGGTGCTTTGAAGTGGTTTCATTATCCAAAGGAACAAAGACTTCAACCTCTTTATCGGTTTGACCAAAACGGTATTTTTCGTAGTTTCCTCCGCATTCATTATTGCATGGAATGAGACTTTCAACACCTTCTTGATCAGCAACTGACATTTTTGAAGTTACAATAGCTTCTTTATCCTATTATACAGAACCCAAAAGAAGACACATTGAAATATCATAATATCATGTCTTTAACAGATAAGGAAAAAATGCAATAATATTAAGTATTTAAGTACCAAAATGTATAGCATATTAGACAATAGAACAGGCAGCACTTCCTAATGTACCCCACTGAATTGTATAATCTCCAACATGAGCAGGCGTACGTGGACTTACTCCGCTACACAAAATAAAATGGCCTTCCTGAAGAGGGCATCCTATCTTAGAAGCATAGGCATGTGCAAGATTTATCAAATGAAGCGGATCGTAAGTACTTAGGCTTAGAGATCCAACCTGAACAGGATCATCATCATGCAACAAAACAAACTGATATCCTGGTAAAGTTTTGGTGAGAATTGAATTGAGATTATTTTCTGTTCCAACCGAAATTCCAACGCAGCTGCACAAATCACATGCGAAGCCACTGACAGAAGGAGGGTAAAAGGGAAAACGTGTTCCAATTACTTCTATAGCAGGAAAGCACGAAACGCATTTTCCAAATGCTGGTGAATTAGACTCATCAGAGATCTTGAAACAAATTGCAGGCTCAACATACTGCAGACGGCACTTTTTTTTCGAAAAGGCTTTGTCCTGAAAAAAATTCGAGAACACAGGTACACAAATGGGTTTCGTTCCATGAAGCGAACGCACAGTTTCATTGGTTAATGGTGTCACTTTGATGCCTTTAAATTTATAGTTGTTATCTCGCATTGTGGAGCATAATTTGGTATGGAATTCTACGACCTCTTCGTCGCTTGCAGGAAGTTTAGGAAAAACATCCTGCAAAATCGGAAGATCATTATCGACTCGTTTCAAATAGTCCAAGTAATACTCCAATTTTTTTTTCGTTATTGACAGAATAAAAGCAGATCTGCGCATCTTTATACTGTTTTCAAAAGTTTTAGGTCACAAGAGCGAAGAGTAAGAAAGGTTCATCTAAGTTTAAAGAACTGTCTACTAGCATTGGCAAGTGGAGTGTATCAGGTAAAATGAATACAGACAAGAAATATTGAAAAAAGAAAACAGATGATGAAATACAATGCAATTAGCTATCAGAAAAATTATTAACAAATTTCCTAAAGATTTCTTGAAACTCTTTGTCAATTTGTGGAGTGGCCTCAGAACTGTTTAACAAAGCGGTGTTGTTTGAAGTGTTCTGAAAATTGTACCGATTAGATAATTCATATTCTTCATGACGCTGCAAACGTGTTTGAAACAACAAAGGCGCTGTTCTTGAGGAAGTTGATTGACTATCTGTCGAATTTATGGACATTTTAGGATAACATTCCATATTGTTTCCATTGGATGATGGTGAAGATAATTCTGGTGTTTTTAAGGAAGGGATGATTTCTTTCTCCTCAACATCTTCACAAGATGTTTGGTTCCTTTTTTCTTTACCCTTATCAGGCAAACTACATGCTTCTTTATCTTCTTTTTTTTTTTTAAATATCCAGTTAAAAAAGTTTTGCTTTGATTTTTTACGATTCTCCACCTCGGCATTCTTCAGATATGAGATTACGTTACCATGGTTTTTCTCTTCACGACACTTTTTGATAATGTTTTCAACTTCCGAGCTCCCAAGGCTAGTAATAAATGGTTTCAGCTCAAATAGTTCATCAACAAGTTTTTCTTCACTTATGGCTTCAGTTCCTTTCAAAAAATGCATGACAATGGCTACATCAATTTGTGTTATCTCAGCATATGTGTATGGGTCAGCAGGCATATTTCTTAATATATGTACGCAATATCTAAGGGCAAAATATGTGCTCTATTCGAGACCTTCGTGCTGTTTAAAAAATAAAAAATGAGAATAATAAATAATAGTAAAATCTTCATTCAGATATTTCTCGTTATTTCAGGTAGTTATAAAATATTCATAATTTTTTTAAAAATCTATACAGCATTCCTTTTTACCCTTTTATAATATATATATGCAGATTATCAAACTAAAGTAAATATTCTAAAATGATAGACTTCTTTCGACGCTTGATTTTGGAGTTCTAAGAACACTTTCAGCCGAAGACACAGAGCGGAACGTCTTGGATATCATAGAAAATGATACTTTTCCTTGTGATGTGGGATTAGCTCCCTCTTTGTCCTTCATCAATCCGCTAATGTTACGTCCAGAATCGGTAGACAGTGCCCTATCTAATAGACCTCTGCAAAACGAATCTAGTTTAATGCTAAGGACTCTATGATAATGCATTATTGCAACTTTGAGATTTCCTAATAGGTGATACGTAAATCCAAGTGCGCAATGTGCATGTCCAGCACCTGGCCGGCATTTTACGTATTGAGTATAATATTTTATTGCCTCATTATATTCTCCAAGCTTTCGAAGAATGGTAGCCAAATTAAAAAGAATGCAATCTTGTCGCTCAGAGGGGTTTTCTTTATTTGGAAGATTGTTGTAAGCTTGGTAGAAAAATTTTAAAGCTTCTTGCAGATTGCCATTTCTCACGAACACAACTCCCATTTCATTAAGCACTAGCGGATTGTTTGGTGATTTCTTTAAAGACTCTTCAAAAAAACATACTGCAATTGGCCACTGGTGAATTCGACTGTATTGCATCCCAGAAAAAGTCAAGCATTCAGTTAGACCTGGGAAAAAATTCATCGCCCTTCTATACACATCCAGAGCCTGCTCACCTTCTTCTAACTTTGAATAACAGTGACCATATGCTACCCAAGCTTCCGCAAAGTAGCAATCAAGCTCTGTTGCACGACAAAAGTAACGACCTGCTCTTTCAAAGTTAGAGAGTGAATAATAATAGCATCCTATTGCATAAACTGCTAATTCTGATCTTGATTTATTCTTTGTGAGAAAATGTGCTTCCTCGAATAGTTTTGGTGTGGCATTCATATCTATAAGTGTACACAAGTAAAGGCATACCGCATCACGGTCATAGGGATCACGTTCTAAAAAGTTTGAGATTAGCAATAACGCTTTGTGCAGATTATTTCTTTCATATTCCCGGCGGACTTTCTGCAAAAGAGCTAGATTGGGGGGAAGATCTTGAGACCAGTCGCTATCCATGTTGGTGATATTTAGCTTTGCTTTGTAGCATTTTTTAATTATTTCAGCTTCGGGAGGAAACCGAAGTGTATCGATAAAATCTGAAATTTCTTTAGGTGTTAGTAATTTCCTTTTGACCATAGACATCAAAGCTTCTCCACAAAACGGATCTTTTTCAAGGGCTATTTTGTAATAGCGTACGGCCTCTACCGTGTCTCCACAAAGTTCTGAGCATTTAGCAATGTAGCATATAGCACATATGTTTTCCTTATCTAATTCGATCAGTGAATTTGCGAACTTGACACTCTGTTTTAATTCACCGATTTCAAATGCAGCTTTCATTCCTAAGGTTATGAATTCCACGTTTTCACGGTCAACCCGCAGTGCGAAGCTGACTGCGTTTATGACATTTTCATATTCGCGTGCTTCAAAATGAGCCTTTGTCTTCAGAAAATGACTTTCGTTATCGTTCGGATTTAGCTCGCATAAAATTTCGGCTAAAGGTAACGCACTTAAGGCTTGCCTATCCTTCACAAAGGATTGTATTTTTTTCTTCAGTGTAGTTTTCAAATCCATTTTCCCTTTATATAGTGAAAAAAAAGGAATGATAGAATTTGCGGTAAACCAATAACATGTACCTTGGAGGATCAGCATTTAACACGGGTAATAGGAGTATGTTCATAAGTAACCTACGAATTTCGCGGATCGTAATCACAAACTATGCCATTAATTTTGTAGATGAAAGCAGTGATGAAAAAGAAGAAAATAATAATAATATCAAACCAATTTACACAATCAGTACGTTTCCTAGATGTGCATCGGCTTCGTTGACTTCAGCATAATAGAACTTCCCTCGAAGGGAGTTAAAAGGCCGCCTAAAAATTACTTATTGACTTTTTGGAGGTATGTATACATATTAAT